TCATAAATTAATCAATAACTGACAAATACATGTTCTGGCGTACGAACTGGAAGTGGGAACGAGTGTAATATATAAGTCTATAAAGATAGATAGATAGATAGATAGATAGATAGATAGATAGATAGATAGATAGATAGATAGATAGATGTGGTCAAAAGAAAGAAAGAAAGAATGAATGAATGAATGAATGAAGGAAGGAAGGAAGGAAGGAAGGAAGGAAGGAAGGAAGGAAGGAAGGAAGGAAAGAGGGAAAGAAAGTGTTAGACTTAAATCAGCAGATAGATAGATAGATAGATAGATAGATAGATAGATAGATAGATAGATAGATAGATGGGAGTGTTCGAAAGAAAGAAAGAAAGAAAGAAAGAAAGAAAGAAAGAAAGAAAGAAAGAAAGAAAGAAAGAAAGAAAATGAATGAATGAAGGAAGGGGGAAAAGAAAGTGTTAGACTTAAATCAGCGGATAGATAGATAGATAAATACATGCATACATACGTAGAAAGAAAGAAAGAAAGAAAGAAAGAGAGAAAGAAAGTATTCGACATAAATGAGCAGATGGATAGATGATGTCGCCTCACTGCGGAAGATTGATATGCAGGTTAATCTAGAAGATTATTAATACTGCAACGTGTTACTAAGGTTTTGTTTTATGTCATCATATTGAAACAATGCTTCACGTTCGTTCACCGACATTAAGTAACTTTAGGCCTGGTCAGGACTCAGTTTTATGTCAGACTAATTAAAGTTTAGTACCTCAGACCGGGCCATGAAATAGCTGTTAGCAAGCAAATGTAACCTTTTCGACAGTAGTGAATTTCATCCTAACTGCGGGAGGGGAGTTCTTTGTCGCATTATTGTATTCAAAGATTAATATGGACAGATATGTACGAAAAAATGCTATACAACTTTTTAAGAGAGTTTCATTTTTCATTTAATCCTTCTCTCTGTCCACATCTCTCTCTCTCTCCGTCTCTCCCGCTCTCTCTTTCTTTCTATCGTTCTGTGTATGTATGTATGTATCTGTCTATCCGCTCATTTATGTCTATCTAACATTTCCATTATTCTTCTTTCTTTCTTTTTCTTTCTTTCTAACACTTCTATCTATCTATCTATCTATCTATCTATCTATCTATCTATCTATCTATCTATTTCTTACTTTCAGTTTTTCTTTCTTTCTATCTATTTATTTCTAACATTTCTATCTTTATTTATTCCTGTCTATCATTTCTATCTATCTATCTATCTATCTATCTATCTATCTATCTATCTATCTATCTCTTACTTTCTGTTTTTCTTTCTTTCTATCTATTAATTTCTAAAATTTCTGTCTTTATTTATTCCTGTCTATCATTTCCTTATCTATCTATCTATCTATCTATCTATCTATCTATCTATCTATCTTTGTGTGTGTGTGTGTGTGTGTGTGTGTGTGTGTGTGTGTGTGTGTGTGTGTGTGTGTGTGTGTGTGCAAAAAATGGGAAAAGAAATGTATTTGTGCGCTAACTCTCTGCCCACTCACCGTTGCGTGTCTGCTTCCATTTACTAATCGGAATATATAAGGCAAATTCTCGACCTTTGCATTCAACCAACCGAAAGCCGATAAAAGACGACCTTTGACGACCATTGAAGCGGGTGAATCACGAATAGACAAAAGGAAGACGAACAGAAGTTAGATGGACGTGGCGGGAGGTCCGGACATTTTGATTTGGCTAAAGCCATTCAAGTCATGCAAAAATGTCAATGTCTTCAAGCTGGACGAAGTAAAAATGAAAAGGCTGTACTTTCTCGACGACATGAACTTCAGGTCTATTAAATGTCTGGCCAATAAATCGTCCTTCCTGCGTTTTCGGCCAGTGGTCAATTTGATCGGAATCTCTCCTTAGTTTTAAGTCATATCAGGCTTTCTTTTTAAAAACTTATATTCCCTTTTATGAATATTGGTACTAATTATAAAGATTTTCGGATAATGTAACAGTTCCTCTATGTACCGTGATCCCTCGGAGCGTTAACTATCATGGATCTCCACAATTGTCTGCTTTTTGTAGCTCTTAATAAATTTTGTCTTTTTGTTATCTCTCCTAAACCTTGCTCCACCATCCATTTATACAAGCTCGCTAGGTAAGTTATTCTTTGTTTTCCTCTCTGTCTCTTGGTTTCATTCTGTCCTTTTGAATATCAAATTTTCCAAACCTTCGTTCCTCAATGTGTGCCCTAGATATTTTTAATTATCTCTTTTTGATATTATGTTTAACTTACCGTTTTGTTCCCATTTTCTGTTCGTTGTTGTCTCACACGTTCCGCCCATGTTATTCTCAGCATCTTTCTGTAGAACCAAATTATGGTTGCTTCAGGTTTCTACCTCGTGTGTGAAGAGATTGTCCAGAATTCGTTGTCATACAGGAGAGCTCGTATTGCGTATAAGTTAAGTACTTTTTTCTTTGTTTCTAACGAAATTATCCTGTTTCTTAATAAATTGCTTATTTTCTTGAAGGCATCTTTCGCTATCTCAGTGCGCCATATGACTGTTTATATATGACTTCAAAAGTAACATACTGATATCTCTTGAAAATGACATCGTGTTATTATCAAGTACCTGCAGGAAAAGGTTTTAATACCGAAGGACATTGATGCTGATATGGTTGTTACATTAGGGGATAATGCTCCAGCTTTATTGACAGTGCAAAAGTGGGCAGCTGAATTTAGGAGGGGAAGGAACTGTTTTGAAAATGACCCAAGATCTGGATATCTTACAATTGCCACCAATGAGCAAAACATTGATCACGTTCACCACATGGTGAATGGATAACAGGCGATTGACTATAAATCAAAGAACCAATGCTATTAGCAGATCCCGTGAGAGAGTTGTGAATATTCTGCACAATGAACTTGGCATGACGAAGGTTTTTGCTCGATAGATGCCACGTCTTCTAACACCTGATAGAAGGCGCACCAGTTTGATCACATCACGAGAAAATGTAACAATGTTTGAGGCAGATCCAGTTGGTTCCTTATCCCAGGATGAGTGTGTGGTTCATCACTTGGAGCCAGAGACAGAGAGACAATCGATTGCAGTGGAAACACTCTTCCTCGCCTGTTCCAAAGAAGGCCAAGGTCGTTTCATCTGCAGGTAAGGTGATGCCAAATGAATGGAATGCTAAAGGCATTGTGTTTTTTCACTATATTCAAAATGGTCACACCATCAAATAGACAGTATATATATATATATATATATATATATATATATATATATATATATATATATATTTTGTCGGTCTACTTCCTCACCCCTTACCCATCTATATCTAGAGACAATACACGTTAAGTTTAAGCGTCGTCTAGCCGACACAAGTGGGGTTAAGAATAAGGAATTGAAATGGTATATCTAACCCACACATATCTTACCTTCTCTCCCACCTCACTTCCTCACTTTGTTAATTTTACATATGCTTGATGCGGTCCGTCAAAAATATGTGAATTTCTTTTCATTTTTCATTTCAACCTTTGGAAGTAAAGTCTTATGATCCAGTGCCCTTTTAAAGAGGTTCTGGTGAAATAACTTATTACATGGAACCTTAAACTGGTCTGTTTTTATTCAAATATATCGGCTCTGAATTTTACATTGAGCTCCCCGGATATCATCCTCCTTGGGTCTACCCATGCGGATTACCTAGTTTTGCATAAACTATTTTATATATATATATATATATATATATATATATATATATATATATATATATGGGGGGGGTAACGAAAAATTCAAAATTGACTCATATGGGGTATAGACATATTTCAAACGATGAAGACTTCCTCAGTCTTATTCAACCCCGATATACAGACTGAGTTCGTGTCGGAATTAGATATTTAACTGTGATAGCATTAGAAACATTGTTACAGAATTTATCCATTTCAGTCAGAAGAACTCAATCTGTATCCCGGGGTACAATAAGATTGACCAATTTTTCGTCAGTTAAAATTGGTGTGTACCCCATATGAAGTAATTTTGGATCTTTGTTTTACTAATATTTCATTGTTTTCTATAATAAATACATCGAGCTCTTTTAGTGGACTACTTTTAATATCATATATTGCTAGGATCCGCATGGATTATATAACAATGAATTTATTAGATTTACTATACACACGTGTGTGTGTGTGTGTGTGTGTGTGTGTGTGTGTGTATATACATACATATATGGATATATATATATATATATATATATATATATATATATATATATATATATATATATATATATATATATATATATATATATATATATATATATATATATATATATATCTTCTAACAAATAAAACTAAGGAAACAATATTTGACAATATATTGTTGATTTAAATTTTCGATACTACGTGTCTTTTTTTTTCTTTTTACTTTGTTTTGTTTACTTTTTATGCATTTTGTGAATTTATTACATTTAATACATACATATATATATATATATATATATATATATATATATATATAAAGAAATATATTCTTAAAATGTGCTATATTTATGGGATAAAGTGCTCAATATCAGAGATAGAGCGTTTGTAAATATAAAAATGAACATAGAAGTCAACACTTAGGCCACCTGACGATTGCGCTAAGCACGAAACAGACTGTCGCCTCTAAGAGTCGACTTCTATGTTCACTTTTATATATATATATATATAGATAGATAGATAAATAGATAGATATACAGAAAACAATATTTGACAATATATTGCTGTTTTAAATTTTCGATGCTACGGTCTTTTTTTGTTTTTACTTTGTTTTGTTTTTTTTATGTATTTTGTTTTATTTTTATGCAAAGGCAAATGAACTGATTCTAATTCCTTGTGTTTTAAAGGTTTTAAAAAATGAAAAAGATAATAAAATATATTTAGATTATATTTTAAATATAATCTAAATATATTTTTCAGCTTTCGACTTTTTCAACATCGTGGGTTTTTTTTTTCTTTGTTTTGTTTATTTATTTATTTTGTTTTTACCCGAAAAAATTATAGAGACATGTTGGAGTAATGGATAGTGGCTCAGATTGAGGAATCGGAGAGCCGAGTTCGAATTTCAGTCCATCATATTCACTTACGTGCTAATACCCTTTAAATGGTATGAATCCTCTTCTTCCCACCCGCCCGGTTTGTCAACTGGTCTACCGCAGAAAGAAATGGCAAGCCTCGTCAGTCATGTATCGAAAGATACATGATCGCCTAAGCGTGTATCATGCATGGCACATAACTGACTGAGTTAAACTAAAATTATTTACAAAGTATACTTAAAATAAATAGTCATCAAGGCAATAATGATTAAGTCACAACTCAATTTCGAAGTCGATTGCTATTTTACTGCTGATTTTATTTTATTTTTAAATTGAAAATGCAAATTAATTTCTGTATATTAGGATGGAACATGCAAGTAGCGTCAGCGCGAACATGTATTCAGTAATCTGAGTCAAATTCTGGCCTAGAATATTGAGTTCATCAAAGATTTAATCTCGTAAGAGTGTCTTGTATCCAACTCTTTGCTACACCTATGTGTTAAATA